ATGACCCCTTTAATGAAAAAGTCTGTGAAAGTGATTTTGTGCCTCTTTGAGATGAACAATAATACGCCGTTCACTTGCAGAACGCAAGCTTCTAGAGGGCAGAGTACCAAGCTAACAATCAAGAACTTCATAAGATCAATTCAGACCATTTCAGTTTGAGTTTCATTAATAGGAATCTATTCCAATAGCACTTACAGAAATGACTAAAGCTCTCCTCAACTTGTCAACTTTCATTGCTGCTCATATTTGCATACATAGAATATTTCAGCTAAAAATGTAAAATAATACATTCAAAGTAAATGTGGAAAGAAAGCGTCTGTAGAGTAGACATTTAATAGATTGTCTATAAGTGGGAAGGGATAAATGATACCATGTGGACCTTATTACACTTTGTGCATTTATTTTAAAAAAAAAACTGGAGAAAAGCAAAACAAAGGTACAGTTTTAAGATACATACAGCACACACTCACACTCTGTTGTTTTTGAAATCAGTATTATTAATCATTTCTTTGTGTGGCATATTTAGTACAGTAAAAAAAGGAAACCAGTATATTGAGGTCCAGTCAGTGAAGGCAGAGTCTTCACTGCATGTCCTGTTTTACACAGTATTGGTCAAGTTACAGAGGAATTTAGGAATATGTTACATTTTTAAAGGAAATAAATGCAATTCATAAAAGAACTGGTACTACAGTATGTACAGTTTTATACAATTAAAGTTCAGGCTCAGAGTGCTTTAAGACTCACTGCACGTCCTAAATACTCCACAGATGTATTCCTATCAAACTGACCCCATCACATCATCTTAAAGATTTGTCTTTCTTCGCAAAAGTCCAGCTTTAGCTTACTAAAAACTACCTGCACTAAAGTATCTGCCCTTCATTTCAGTGATCACGTTTTATAGGACTGAAATCAAAAGGCACAAGCCAAAATGATGCTAATGTTAAAACGTGTAACTGTAAACTAAACTTAATGGGCGCTGTCAATATAAATGCAACACAAATGGTGCTTTATCAGGGCACGTCAACCTTTGGTAAACCTGAAATGTTTTCGGACAAAAAAAAAAAAAATTCAATAATAGAAACACCGAGCTGATAGTCCAGTCTCAATAAACAGTACTAATATCCTAAATATCATAATGAAAAATGGAAAACTGTCATTGGGAATAATCTGACATATTTGAAGGGAAACATAAAGGATTGTCCTGTATTTGTGTGAAATGTTATTAATGAATGGAATGATTCGTTTATGAAGATTACAAATGTTTGCACCTCCGCTGAAACACTCCACAGGACTCTGGATAAGACTAAGTCGACTTGACAAGAGCTACTGTAAGAACTCGAATGTCAACACAGACAGCTATGGAAGCGTGAATGGAGTGCTGTGGAAGTGCAGAGGTTTATGGTCCGTTAGTGAAGTCTGTGGCTGTTTCTTTGCTGTCCGTGTCCTCGAGGGGCGAGGGGCTGCTGTCTCTCGTGGGCAGCAGGTCATAATGACATGGGATGTGGCTGTTCTTTGGCAGGTCATATGGATCTTGACCAAATGGCCCGTTGCAGTTGTTGTTAAAGACTGTGTGGACAGAACTGATGGTCGGCTCTGGATAGGGAAGAATACAGGTTCAAACGGTTACATATCTAATGTGCACGGTACATGTGTTACATACTTTTATCTTTCTAATTGTTTATAAATACCAAAAAACTCAGAAAAGCACAGCAGTTCCTGTTCTGCAGGAAAGTCATGTCCCATCGTGGAGCAACAAGAAGCTTCAAGCACAGCGAAGCCAAAAATCAGCAATGAAGACTGTTAAAAACTGTAAAATATTTTGAAAAGATTATGGATGATAAAGTAATTGTATAATAGTGCTGATCAGCCTTAGACTGCTGGAGCATTTGCTAGCACATATTTGACAGGATTCGCTGCTCTTATTTGCATCAAGACAAAATCGTGATGCAAGCGTCAAACAACAGTGGAGATGAGATCCACGCTTTCAGTAATGCAAGACTTTAACATGCCCAAGCCAATAATGGCTCCAAGTCATCTGTTCTTGTTACAGAATCGTTAACAGGAAAAATGACTAAATAGTGGAATGTATTGTTAGTCTTCAGAATATAGTTTTGCAGTTGTGTAGCATTAAGATCCTGAAGTGTACAGCTTCGCTCTGTGGTGTGAGTCAAAAGAATATTAGAATCTAAAGTAAGCAAAAGTGTGCTGTGGTTGAAGCGCTGAGGGAAGGGCTGTGTGTCTTGAGCTGTGTCTCGAGCGCTCGGTGGAAGATGAAGGCTCAGAGAGAGACTGTAGTGTGTAGTTGACTGACGGAGGGCTCAGTGCTGGTTTTTTGAGCATGTGATGGGAAGGTTTCCTGTAGTAAGAGATGTGTGGACAGTCAGATAAACGGTGCTTCTGCTCAGATCGGTCAGATGGAAAGTGTCATTGTCAAACGGCTTTCTCTGGTGAGTCTGTCCTCATCTGCAGTGCCTGTGAAAAACGGAGCAGGGTGAGGGCTGATGGAAAAGACAGCCCTGATTATAACGTACGTGTGCGTTCCCCAGCTGACATGACGTGAACACAACTGCTGCTCTCACACGAGCCACGATTACTCATTCTTTCCTAGCCGGGGAACTGATGTGATGCCTTCAGGTTTGGAGGGATACATCCCATCTGTGCACAGTTACTGGAGACATCAGTCTGTTCATACGGAGTGGATGTGTAGTCCCATCAAAGAAATACTATTCGCATGAAGCACAAATAAAAATGGCTGACTATGACTTCTAAATATTGAAATGTAGTTGAGAAAATAATAGGCACTGAGTCCGTCTCTAATACAGTTATGGAATAACAAACAGTGTGCGGCTCACTGGTGTTGCTGGATCTGTGTTTTTCTTACCAACTTCATAGACGTTTTTGTTGGCAGGGCTGGAGGAGTGTATCTCAGCGTACGGCGCGTCTCTGTGAGCGGGAGACTTCATCTCCACATAGCCGCACTCCAAGCTCTTGGTCAGCAGCAGAGGAGGGTCTTTGATGGTGGCGTATGGGTTCTCTGAGCTGTTTAGAGAGCTGGAGCTGGCGTGATAGGGCACGCTCTTCACCAGATCTACAGACAGAGAGAAGGGGTCAAATCATCACACTGTGTGAAGGCATTTACTCACCCTCATGATCCAAACCCGTATGCCTTCTTCACAACACAAAAAAACTTTTTTTGGAGCATACCAGGGTTCAAGACTTTCTTTGCATGGACCAAAAAAAAAACATTTTTTAAAATATTGTCTTTTGTGTTCCACAGAAGAAATGATACCTGTCTGGTGAGTAAATTGTAAAATATTCAAGACTCTTGCTTGCTAAACGATCATTTACCTCGAAGTGACTTTCCCATGTAACGCCTGTCAACTCCATAGGCTCCTAATGAGAGAATCAAGACAGAAGAAGTCAAACTTGATGACACAACTTACAGCTGGAGATGCTACACGTGCTGCCGCTGTGTGTGAAATGACTAGTGTTTGCACAGAGGCGGTCAGGAAACAAGTCACTGCACAGTTTGGCTGCTTCTGTTCTCTGCTTTCTGTAAACGCTGGGCTACTGAACAGTATCGGGTCAAATGTCTGCCTGTCATATACTGTATGTTGTGATCATGGTGGTTGGATGTCACACCGAGCTCATTGAAGGATCCTCCTTGTTTCCAGTCGGCCGGTAGAGTTCCTGTGTGATCCAGCAGGGAAAGACGTTTCCTCGGCTCTGCGTTCTTCAGGTTCACAAACAACTGATTGTTCTTCGGCTGTCAGGCAGAAGAAAATCAACAATTATAGCAAGTGTCTTTCTACAACGTTCCACATTATTCCTCAATTCTGGTCAGCTTCTGCTCCTGAAACCATGGGTTAGTTCAGCTTGCAATGGGTTTTTTTAGAATGGCGGTTTTGGATTCTTGATTAAATAAAGCCTGTGGTCAACATTCAATTTTCGTGAACATTTTGTACAAAATGACACCTTATTTTACTCAAAAAGAAATCAAAAATGCTTCTAACAACACATAGGCAAGGCAATCGGTGGAAAAGCTCTATTCAGCAGTAGCATCTTATAAACAGCCTAAAATATTAGTCCTTCATTCCCAGAGCTGTTCAGTAATTACAGAGTCTGTTAGTAGAGTAGCACCTCTCCATAGGGCAGGTTGTTGGCGTGAGGAGGGCTGCTGCACTGGGTCAGTGTGTGATAGCTGGGGTTGGAGAAATAGCTACTGTTGGGAATGACGTCAGTCTGCGGGAGCGACTCTACAAACAGAAAACACATCACACACAGACACACACACACGTGACCCTGATAAGACTTACACAGGAAATCATAAGAATGCAAAGAAAAGTCATCACGTCAATATCACACATGCTGACATCGTGATGCTGACCTGCGATGGCGTAATCGGTGTTGGCCCTCATGGTAGGTGTGTACGTGACCGCAGGCATCGTGGATTCTTTTCCTTTCTGTTTCTTGCGGTAAATGATGAAGAGGAGGAGGAGGATGAGAACGAGGAGCACCAGAACGATGATTCCTGCGATCGCACTGATCTGATACGAGTCCACAGGCACAGCGGCGCTCGTCAAGCTGTTGAGATTCCCTACGATGATCACGCCGGCTGAGAAAGAGTCACGCAGTCAAAGAGCAACAAACCTCACTGTGTGTCCATGTGCCTGAACCAGAGGATCAGTGTAGCTGTGAAGCGCCGAGATTATTTTGCTATTCTAAAACATACCATACAAAGGAAACATAAAGATTCCCCCTATTTAATAATGGCAAGTGCTAATGTAATGTTACCTTGGTCACAGCGTGTGCCTTTCCAGCCGGGATTACAGTAGCAGGTGCCAGTCATGTGATCACAGGTGGAGTTATTGAGACAGTCGCACACCTGCCGGCACCCGTATCCGTATGTACCCGCGGGACATTCTGGAAGCCAGTGGAGTAACCGAGGATCAGATGCAGACTCGAGCGTGTGCTTGAAAACATCAAAGTACCAGCTCCACGCTTTCATACTCACTCTGTTCACAGTGGCGTCCCATGAAGCCGGTGCGGCAGGTGCACTGACCGGAGATATGATTGCAGTCTGCGCCGTTCTCACACTGACACGCCTGAACACAGTCCTTACCGTAGAAACCTAGTGGACAGCCTGCAGGACACAACAGCACAATGACGGGAACTGTCACGATCGATCGTGAACACACAGGCTAGAGATCAGAGCTGTAGTTTCAGATCGGATGCGGTAGAGTTGTACTCACGCTGTGTGCAGTACAGCCCCGTCCAGCCGGCTGTACACTTACACTCGCCGTCATAAGCACTGCAGAACGCCCCGTTGTGACAGTAACAGGTGTGGATGCAGTTGGGACCCCACTGACCCGGAGGACATGCTACAGGTGAACACACATACATGTCATATTTGATCAAAAATGACGGAAATACAGCAATAGTGTGACAAATTAATTTACATTTAACAATTTTCAGCATCAGTCTTCAGTGTCACATGATCCTTCAGAAATCATTCTAATATGCCGATTGGCTGCTCAAGAAACATTAAAAAGTTAAGTTTTTATAATGAAAACTATTTTTTTGTGAAAACTGTTCTACCATTCAAAACTTGGGGGTAAGATTTAAAAAAAGAGAAAGAAAAAGAAAAAGAACTTTAATCAAAAGTTACAGTAAGGACATTTATAATGTAACAAAAGATTTCCAAATGGTGTTCATTGAACTTTCTATTCATCAAAGAATCTTGTAAAAATGTATCATGGTTTCCACAAAAATATGAAGCCGAAAAAACAGTTCTACATAATTTTTCATTAACTAAATGCAGCCTTGGTGAGCAGAAGAAACTTCTTTCAAAAACATTTAAAAAATCATAATTATTACAAACTTTTGACAGGTATTGTGTATAAAACATCAGCAGATCAAGTGTGTTTTATTAATGTTTCTCTGTATGATCAGCAAGGGGCGCTAGATACCACAGACACTCAATGGTCAAACCATAGAGGGCATGATTAACCCAAAGTCATGGGTAAAAACAAACTCTGTTCCTAATGCTCCTGAGTGATAAACTTTCACTGAGTATCGTCTTTATATGGACCATCCACTTACAGGAGATGATCTACATCAGTCGAGCCAATTAAAGGAACAGCATGGGATTGTTCTGTCCAGATGTGGAAAGTAAAATGTTCTATAATTACAATAACCCAGCAGTTATATGCTATATATTATTCAGGAGGATAATACTACACAATAAAACATGAAACAATGTATTTGATAAGTGCTACTTCATTAGACACATCAGTAAACATCTGTGATGGTCAAACTACAAAATCATATCACATCACATCAGACAATGCTGGAGAGCCAACAGCTGCTATAAATTACAGATAGTGAGGATTTCCAGCCAGGATTTAGACCGTATCATAGTACTGAGACTGCTCTCATCAGAGTTACAAATGACCTGCTCTTATCATCCGATCGTGGTTGTATTTCTCTATTAGTATTACTGGATCTTAGTGCTGCGTTTGACACTATCGACCACAACATCCTTTTGAGTTGACTACAAAATTCTGTTGGCATTAGTGTTGGAATTGCATTGTCATGGTTCAAATCTTACTTATCTGACCGTCATCAATGTGCAGTACAGCCCCGTCCAGCCGGCTGTACACTTACACTCGCCGTCATAAGCACTGCAGAACGCCCCGTTGTGACAGTAACAGGTGTGGATGCAGTTGGGACCCCACTGACCCGGAGGACATGCTACAGGTGAACACACATACATGTCATATTTGATCAAAAATGACGGAAATACAGCAATAGTGTGACAAATTAATTTACATTTAACAATTTTCAGCATCAGTCTTCAGTGTCACATGATCCTTCAGAAATCATTCTAATATGCCGATTGGCTGCTCAAGAAACATTAAAAAGTTAAGTTTTTATAATGAAAACTATTTTTTTGTGAAAACTGTTCTACCATTCAAAACTTGGGGGTAAGATTTAAAAAAAGAGAAAGAAAAAGAAAAAGAACTTTAATCAAAAGTTACAGTAAGGACATTTATAATGTAACAAAAGATTTCCAAATGGTGTTCATTGAACTTTCTATTCATCAAAGAATCTTGTAAAAATGTATCATGGTTTCCACAAAAATATGAAGCCGAAAAAACAGTTCTACATAATTTTTCATTAACTAAATGCAGCCTTGGTGAGCAGAAGAAACTTCTTTCAAAAACATTTAAAAAATCATAATTATTACAAACTTTTGACAGGTATTGTGTATAAAACATCAGCAGATCAAGTGTGTTTTATTAATGTTTCTCTGTATGATCAGCAAGGGGCGCTAGATACCACAGACACTCAATGGTCAAACCATAGAGGGCATGATTAACCCAAAGTCATGGGTAAAAACAAACTCTGTTCCTAATGCTCCTGAGTGATAAACTTTCACTGAGTATCGTCTTTATATGGACCATCCACTTACAGGAGATGATCTACATCAGTCGAGCCAATTAAAGGAACAGCATGGGATTGTTCTGTCCAGATGTGGAAAGTAAAATGTTCTATAATTACAATAACCCAGCAGTTATATGCTATATATTATTCAGGAGGATAATACTACACAATAAAACATGAAACAATGTATTTGATAAGTGCTACTTCATTAGACACATCAGTAAACATCTGTGATGGTCAAACTACAAAATCATATCACATCACATCAGACAATGCTGGAGAGCCAACAGCTGCTATAAATTACAGATAGTGAGGATTTCCAGCCAGGATTTAGACCGTATCATAGTACTGAGACTGCTCTCATCAGAGTTACAAATGACCTGCTCTTATCATCCGATCGTGGTTGTATTTCTCTATTAGTATTACTGGATCTTAGTGCTGCGTTTGACACTATCGACCACAACATCCTTTTGAGTTGACTACAAAATTCTGTTGGCATTAGTGTTGGAATTGCATTGTCATGGTTCAAATCGTACTTATCTGACCATCATCAATTCATAGCAATGAATGAAGAGGTAACATATAGATAACAAGTGCTGTATGGAATACCACAAGGCTCAGTACTAGGACCATTGCTGTTCATGCTTTAAATTTTTCTCTTGGCAGATATAATCAGGAAACGTGGTGTTAGCTTTCACTGTTATGCTGATGATACTCAGCTCTATATTTCTGACGAAACATACCAATTCGCAAAACTAACGGAATGCATAGTTGATATAAAAAACTGGATGATTAGTACTTTAACTGAAAAATTGACAGTTTGCTATTGTCCTCTTTTTAGAGCTGCTCTACAGCAGAATTCAATTTTCTTTCCATTATTGACACACAATTTTCCTGTTTAACACTGTAAAGCTGCTTTGACAATCTGTATTGTATAAAGCAATATATCAATAAAGGTGACTTGACTTTATTAATTTGTTTGAAGAGGAAAAAAGCTTTGAAAAGATCTGAGGATATGCCAGACATCAGGATGCCCTACCAAACCCTCCTGACCCAAAGATTCCAGCCTGACAGCTGCAGAACTGTGTGATATGAGATAAAGTGCCTAAACAGCCACAATCTCTGCAGACACAAAGAGAAAGGCCGACATTAAGTCACCTGATGATCAGAAACCTAAAGAAATTGTTTTGTCGTGTGATGAGATGAGCTGAAGTCGAGCCTTTAGGGTGGAAACAAAATGCTGCAAATGATGCAAATCAAAAAGTGAAACTCTAACACAACAGCATCACTGTTCTGAACTCTGTTCTGAAGGACATTTTTTTAGAAGATTAGAAGATAGAGCTTTAGTGTTTTTAGTGTGATTGCACAGAATACTGACGCTGTGAGCAGTCACTGCCGATCCAGCCGGGGTAACACTGACACGAGCCATCGATGGGGATACACGTGCCGTTATTAGTGCAGGTGCAGCTCCATGCACAGTTCTTACCGAACCTGCCACTGGGACACACTGCAGACAGACAGACAGACAGAGCAGCACATCAACACCACCATCTGTGACATGACCGCAGTACAGATACTGGACAATGGAAATGGAAAACATTACAAAAAGAACTGAAAGAAGAAATGGCGTGGAGAAGACACACTCCCCATGTAAGTCCGACTATCTGACAGCTGTACTGTAGTAGTGAGTGAGAGGGGCGTTTCTTGCCTTCGTTGCAGAGCGCCCCTTTGAACCCGGGCAGACAGTCACACTGGCCAGTCACGTGGTGACAGGGGCCACTGCTGTGGACGCAGTGCGGACAGGCCTGGCTACAGCGGTGGCCAAAGAAACCCGGAGAACAGACTGGGAGCACGTCGGAAAAACATGAGGAGAACAGGGCGGATGAGAAAACAGACAGGTCATTGCGGGACAGACAGGCATGCGGTGTGTTTGAGCACTCACTGCGCTGGCAGGTGGTTCCTCTGAATCCAGGTGCGCACTCGCATGCACCCTCGTCCGGTGAACACGACGCTCCATTCTTACAGTTACAGGACAGAGAGCAGTTGGGCCCCCAGCGGCCCTCAGCACACACACTGTCACAATGAATGCCTGTGAGAAACATACACACACACACTGACTCTCACAAAAACACAACATCACTTAAGAGTCACAGAAAAAAACATCTCTCAATTACTACTTCACAAAACTTCACGGTAACACTTTACATAAAGCCACTATGTATATTGCATTATGTATGCCTTGTAATGCACATTATAATGCATTTATGATCTCTTGAATAACTGTAACCACAGTTATAATACATTATGATGATTATCTATTCATCTCTAACCTTCCATTTCTTTCTAAAGTGCTGGAAAAAGTAGTTGCTGCACAACTTCTGGTCCATTTAAAACAAAACAACCTGTTCGAGAAATTCCAGTCTGGTTTCCACTCTAGCCACAGCATGGAAACAGCTCTGGTTAGGGTCACAAACGGCCTGCTAATGGCAGCTGACACTGGTTCTCCATCTCTTCTCATCCTTCTGGACTTGACTGCAGCGTTCGACACTGTGGATCACAACATTCTTCTGCATCGTCTACGCAACACCGTTCGTCTCTGTGACTCCGTCTATATCTGGTTTTCATCCTACCTTACTGGGAGAACAGAGTATGTTGCCTTGAGAGAGGCTAAATCCTTGACACACAACGTCACCTGTGGTGTCCCTCAAGGCTCAGTGCTCGGCCCCATCCTGTGCGGAAAAGCTTGTCCATGCTTTTTTCTCATCTAGGCTGGACTACTGAAATGTGCTCCTCATCGGGATCCCTGGCAAAAGCCTACAGAAATTGCAATACATTCAGAACACTGCTGCTAGGATCCTGATCAGGGTACGCAAATACAACCATATAACCCCCATTCTCAAATCATTTCACTGGCTACCTATTTCATTCAGGATTGCTTATAAGGTCTCCCTCCTCACCCATCAGTGCATCCATGGTAACGCCCCACCCTATCTCAAGGAACTTTTCACTCTGCAAAGCTCTACACGTACTCTCTGTTCTACCTCAACATATCTCCTAAAGCCCCCCAGGACCAAGCTCCGTACTATGGGAGATCGGGTTTTCTGCTCAGCTGCTCCGCGTTTGTGGAATGCACTCCCTGATCATCTGAGGACCCCACAGACTGTGGATGCTTTTAAATGCGGCCTCAAAACCTTCTTTTTTAGCAGAGCCTTTGACTGATTCATAACATTTCTTTTTTAATCTGTAGCACTTTGGGATTCTGCTTGAATATAAAGTGCGTTATAAAAAAAAATCTATTATTATTATTATTCATTGTTACACCTTTAGAAAGTATAATGCATTAAAACACATGACAAACAAACCTTATAATGCATTTACAATTATATATGAAAAGATATAATGCATTACAATGTACATTATGAATACATTTAAAATGCATTAAACATAAAGGCTTTAAGTAACGTGTTACCAACTTCACTTCTCTTACAGAATTCGATGTTTTGTATTGAGAACTATTAGATGTTCATGAGTTCACCTGCCCATCCATTCTTGATTATCATTTGATAGTTAATTAATTTGGCATGCTGTCCTCAGTGAACCCCCAGACTACGGGACTGACTAAAATGAGGTAGCTTGGAATGGGATGAGACGGGATGGTGGAGGAATGATGGAAAACCATTGCTGGTGCAGCTCAGTGGCTGCTGCTTATATACACTCATGATGATGACTTACAGTTTAGTGAAGCGTTTTAAAGCTCGGAATCAACTGAACCAACTGATTCATAAAATGATTCACTGTTTTGAAGCACTGAAAACTCTACTAGCTGCACCATCTCAAAATGCTGTAAATGCAACAAAAACTCAGACTAACACATTTAATGACACAGTTTACAAACTAATTGCCAGTTTTCATGAAAGTGTAATCTATTAAATGTAATCTACAAATAACTAAATTAAATACTATTAAATATGAAAGTTCTGTAAAATTTGTGTTTTATTTATTTGTAGTCCTTGTTTTGTCATTAGGCGCTGCTTGGCGAACTAAGTCAATTAGAAGCAATTCAGTATAATTTTACTTATTGTATTATACTGTATGTGCATAAGTATTAAAATTCATTAACATATTTAAATATGGACCTACCTGAGATCAGTTAAAATCCATCAAACATTCATGGGATCACCAGATTAATGCGATCTAACGGTGAACCCTCTTAATTTTAAAATGTTTCGACGCAACAATTTTGCCTCATTTGCTGAAATCAACTGACTTGAGTTGATACAAGCTTTGAACCATTGATTCAAACAAAAGATTCATAAATATTACAAAGCTTAATGTAGCAATGTTTCAAAAGGGCCCATCACTACTGACAGAACTAAAAAAAATTTGGCTTTTACCGAACCTACGTTTTAAACTTAATTTCATATCCCTTCACATCCTAATGGTGTGCACACACATATACTGGCACAGAACTCATCTGCTATGAGCAAAGATGGAAGATTTCAGTTCGCACCAGACAAGAGTGCTGATGCTTTGGCTTGCTTAGTTGGGGACGACTGACTGATTGCACAGACACTATTGGAAGAGAGCTGAACTGGATGATGACATCACTGAATCATCAATGCAATGACTTTAGCTGAAAAATGACTCTGTTATTGTCTTCTTGCATTATTGACAAACTATTTTCCTGTATGACTGACTAAAGGCCCGTTCACACCAAGCACGATAACTATAAAGATAACGATAAAGAAGTTCTAAAAATCGTTCTCAATATTAAAGAATAGCATAGTTCACACCACAACTACAACGATAACGATACAGAGGAACGATATCGTTGTGATCACTTTCAAAACGATTTTTTTTCCAGCTGATGAACGATAAAACACTGACAGCCAATCAGAATCCATCCTGCTGTAATGAGCTCAAGAATTTAAAGTGGCAGACGCATGTGCGCCTAGAATAAACAGACGATATCGTTCGCTGGTGTGGACGCTAATATCGTTATCTTTATAGTTATCTTTATAGTTATCGTTCTTGGTGTGAACGGGGCTTAAAGCTGCTTTGACACAATCGTTATCTTTATAGTTAACACTATCTTTGAAAGTGATCACAACGATATCGTTCCTCTGGTTTTGTGATTGTAGCTTCGTGTAGCTCTGTTTTTCTGTAAAATCTCTATTACTCTCTGTTGTTAACTGCTGGTTTTGTCTGGCCAGAGGAGAACTGGCCCCCCGACTGAGCCTGGTTTCTCCCAAGGTTTTTTCTCCACAATCTGTATTGTTAAAAGTGCTATATAAATAAAGGTGACTTGACTTGACTTGACTTGACAATCAGTATTGTACAAAGCGCTATACAAATACAGGTGACTTGACTTGACTTGATGGATAGTCAAGAAATAACTTCATAGAAAGTTCCTCAAGAACTACAAACCAACATTTGGTTGAAAACAGTCCCCTACTGAGTCAAAGCTTAATTTAGGATTCAGGCATTTTATTTAACAATAATGACAGAGGAACAATATTGTTAGAATCACATTCAGAGCAAGTTTTTTTTTCCAGTGGATGAACATTTTAAGCCAATCAAAATCCATCCTGCTTTAAAAAGTTTGATCATTGAAAGTGGCAGATGTAAGCGCAGCGCGTGCTTATAATAAACCGAACGATATTGCGTGTTGGTGTGCTAATATAGTTATTGTTATAGTTATTGTTGGTGTGAAGGAGTCATAACCCAGTGACCGTCAGGACAATGATTACACACGTCTCTTGCTGTGAGTCTGGAGCTCAGTCTGTGTGCAGCACTGTGCTGAAGTGGCTCTGTGCTGCCAGAACACGGACAAAAGCTCTTTTGAGAGTGAGTGTGTGTTGCTAGGCACTGTGAGAACGCCGGAGATCATTCCAGTACAGCAGCCCTGAGAGCATCAGTATGCTGCCGGTGTCCAGCACAAGCCCGAGGAATGTGTGGGAGAGTATTTGCACTGCTTGTGCGCTCATTACATGCTGAAAGGAAAAACATCAATAACAGATCTACACACACAACTCATTCTCAGGTGTGCCCCATGACCTACTGCTGATACACTTAGGGATAGTTCATACCAAAATGAAAATTCTGTCATCGTTTACTCACCCTCAAGCTTAAACCGGTATGAGTTTCTTACAAAAGAAGACCAAACCATTGCTGTTCCCCATTGACTTCCAAAGTATGGGGGGAAATACTATAAACATCAATGGGGACCAGCAACTGTTTGGTTACCAACATTCTTCATAATATCTTCTGTGTTCAGCAGAAGAAAGAAACTCAAACAGGTTTGGATCAACCTGAGAGAGAGTAAATGATTCATTTTCAACTATCACTTTAGCAGGTTATTGCTGTTAATCATATGAACTTAACCACATGAAATAAATAAAAAAAACATTTTTTAAATGGTCATTAAAGTTGTTTTTACACACCCCACGACCTCATGTAGGACAAGTGGATTTGGACAGTAAGGCTGTAACCACATACATATTTAGGATTGGGTACACACACAGTTTATTAACAACCACCTAAAAACTGGAGAGGTCCCATGCGCAGAGGCTTTGGCTGTTACAGTCCTGGTACTTTAGGCCAGAGATGGAAAACAGCTTTCTAAAGTGTCAGTCTCATGTCCAGCGTCAGCTGCTTTACCTGTCCATCCAGCCAGACAGCGGCAGTGTCCGGTCGAGGGGTGACACCCGTCTGCATGACTGCAGTCACAGCGCTCGCGACAGTCCAGGCCATACGTCCCGTCCTGCATCAGTCCAGACAGGGACACCTCTTACTACACAAACACTGCTTTATGAGCTGAATGTGCTGCTGAATATGAGAACACACTTAAAAATAATTAGCATGGCTGAGCTAAAGATTATGATTACGGGTTACTGTTGTGATGCCTTGTGAGTGAAAGTCAAAAGTATGGAAAATAATTGAGAAATAAATGAGCACTTTTTTTTTTTTTTAAATAAGTAATGTATAGCTATAACACTATGCCTTGAAAGTATTACCTCAAAATTACATTTCAGAAAACTAGTTAATGCTGCTGTTTAAAATACAACGGCTGAAAGAGGGATGGCAAATCTGACATCTTTCTCAATTAATATCTCAATATGTTTTTCTCCTCTGTTGTAATTGTAGAAACATTATTGTGGATTTTTTTTCTTTTGCTATTAGAGCAAATGGCAATGCAAAATTATACTTGTTGGAGTTTCCATTCACCATTATAGAAGTTTACCCAACTATGATGACCAGAAATGCCAGAAATGTGAAAAGGGTCCATATAAGAAGATCATAGAAGAGGTTTAACATGTTGACAGCAGGCTTTGAATGTGGAAATGAGTTCAGTATCAGGTATCAGGTGTAAAGTTTGATATTTCTCAGTGAATGGAGCTCTGAAGAGATGTTTATGATGTTAGTGATGAACTGACCTGACAGTGTTGATCACATCTGTCTCCTCTCCAGCCTGGAGCACAGGTGCACCTCCCATCCAGAGCACTGCAGGCGCCTCCGTTACCACACACACACCTCAGGTTACAGCCCAGACCCCACGAGCCGCTGGGGCAGTTAATGGAGCAGTCCACCCCATGCCACCCTGACACAGCCACCAGATTTCATTAAAAACATCTTTATTTGTGTTCTGGAGATTAACACATTTCTTGAGGTGAGAAAATGATGACAGAATTTAGATTTTGGGGTGAGCTCTGCCTTTAATAGTTCTGGATCTTACCTGCTTGACAGGAGCAGGATCCGTCGATGGGTGAGCAAGCGGCTGCGTTCTTACACGAGCACACAGAGCTGCAGTTGATGCCGTAGGTGCCGGCGGGACAGGGAGTGGAGCAATCTGAGCCCTGCGATCGCTGTCAAACGTTAGTGTCTGACTCCAGCACACACACACACACAGAGAGAGAGAGAAGACACACCATCTTTATGAAGATGTACCTTGAATCCGGGCGCGCAGACACACTCCCCGCTCACGCTGTGGCAGTCGGCTCCGTTCTGACAGCGACAGACCTCCTGACACGCCTCGCCGTATAAACCAGGAGCACACGTCTCGTTACAGTACAAGCCCGACCAGCCCAGCCGGCACGAGCACTCACCCGACACGGGCTGACAGCTGAGAGAGAGACGTCAGCACATCAACACGCAGCTGCTGCGGTCACTAAACACAGCCCCACACTCTAGTCTTACTGCAGCCATCACACAAGATCATTTAGTGACCTACCTCCTTAATATTTCATATTTCAATCATTTAACTGCACATTCACATGTTCACTTTTGATGTCTATTAATGGTTACATGGCATGCAGGTAAACAAAAAAAAATAATTTTTAGTCCGTTTAATATGTTTACTGTCTTTATTTTAAAATGAATTACTTACAGTATAAGGCTGTGTAATTTGGCCAAAAATTATATTGTAATTATTTTTGTCAAAAACCTGCTGCCAGTACAGTTCCAGTTGCTTTTTAAATGTTCGCATATGGGTTCAATCTTAGCAAAAATCGAATCTTCACACGGTCTTTACAAGAATCAACTGAACAGAGTAAAAACAATCAAACAAACAGTCTTTGCAGTGACTTTGTAGCTCTACTTTTAAGTGGACTCAAGCCTCTTTTTGTAGATGATAGTTTCTCAGTCCACATCACATTCACACTGTAGATTTTAGGAAACAATCAATCTGAATAATAATGATAATTGTTTTGAAAGATTATTATTTTAACTCGAATTATAAAAAAAATGAAGAGTGAGGTATATTTTTACTGAATTGATACATTTGTAATATTTGATAATGGTAATTATTTTATTACTCTACAAATAACAATACTAATCCATCTTAATCTTCAGTTTTAAATGTTTGTTTTAACTCTCAAGCTTTTATTCTAGTGGAAAAATGCAGGAAGACCTTTATGTCTGTGTTTAATTGATAACAGGTCTTATTACAAATTCAAAACTGATGGCCATTTAAATGTTAGAAATGATGTGAAAGTGAAAATAAAGTGATCCTGGTGCATAGCACTGTATAAATGAGGAGGAGATGGTTAAAGGAGGTCACAGAATAAGGAGCCGGTCTACAGTAAACTCCTCTCAGAGGTTCTGGGTAAGTGAAGGACGACAGCGTGAAAGTGAAGACATTCCTACAGAGAATGTCTGCCATACTGCAGTCTGTCAGGAAATTACAAATCCATCAGTCAACCTCATTATGATTTTGACTCACGATCATGACTGAATTTGCCTTTAAATATAGAAGCTCATATCCAGATGTAGTGTGTTCAGTTTAATGCACTGAAACAATGATGTTTGAGCTTCATCTGAGCCTCTTGACGTCATCTCATTACTAACACTGGGCTTTTCTCAGCTGTTAAGCCAGTTAAAACGAGTGTCTGCACACTTATACAGTGCTTTAAGTACATTAATATCAGATCATATTGTTCCACTGACAGCCTCTGATTTCTTTATATTTGAGATATAAAGAAGTTTCTTGATTCTTTGCTAGCTGTCAGTAAAGTCCCTCGACAGGGGCTGGTGTTGATGACTATGAAGTGTCAGATGTAATGAGTCTATATTGTCCATTACCTGTGGACAGAGCAGCTGGAAAGAGCCGTTTAGGCAGCTGCATCACATGTGACACATGTGGTTTGTCAGCTGTGCACGTCTGTCTGAGCTAAACAATGAGCAACTGTCTGTATGTGTGTGTGTGTGTGTGTGTGCCAAGCCGGATTCAGTGGCTACTCAGGTAAGTTTGAGTTTAGTTTGAGCAAACTCTGTTTTTTTCTCTTTTATTCTGGTTAAGCGGCTGCAAATCAAAACTGACAAAAAGCGACATATATCTAAAGTCACTCCCCGTATCTCTTACCAAATTAAAGCAGTTCACAGTGGAGGAATTGTAATAAGCAATTATATTTTGACAATTAATATTCAGCTTTTAATTCAAACGAATATACATACAAATACAAGCTTTAGAATATATAAAGATTTAAGAACAGCTAAACTTATGTTTTCTTTTAAGATCTTTGTGAACATTTATAACTAAAATAATTTGACTTTCGCATTAGATTTCAGCGCGGTTGTTGTTGCTAGGAAACATTGTTTCACATACTGTGTTTTACTGTGGTTAATACATGCTCAAGTCGTGTTTGTTCTCGTGCGTATCGCGGGACTTTCCACTTTCAGTTTGCTAAATAGTAAGGCGTGGCCAAAGCCAGTAAAAGTACTTATTTACCTGTTTAGAAGCACTTGTTAGAAGAAGCAGTCGAGCAGCAGAAGAGGACAGCCGTTTGTAAGTGTTTTGTCTTGTTTTCTCATTAGATTTCAGCACGGTTGTCGTTGCTAGGAAACATTGTTCATTTACTGTGTTTTACCGTGGTAAACGTGCTCAAGTCGTGTTTGTTCTCGTGCGTATCGCGGGACTTTCCAGTTTCTGTTTGCTAAATAGTAAGGCGTGGCCAGCCGACTTCAGTAACAAGTACTCAGGCAAGTATAAAATTGGTTAGTTCACCGCGGCAGCCCTCATGTGAGTGTAAAGACCATCGACTCTACCTGCGCAACTCCACCGAGCAAGGACACCGACAAGGCACTTGAGTATTTGCTTTTCTCCCCTTTCTTTACTTTTTGTACAGCTTGTTCTCATATACTTGTTTAGGACAATTGTACTCACTATGTGCTTTCAAATCTCTACTATTACTACTAACACTCGGAAAGCACGCACTATACGTTGGAGGCAGGTCAATCCTAATAATCTATGGCCTGTCCCTCTGTCCTCTACTACTTTACTCTCTATTCCAATTGGTCTCTGGAACTGCCAGTCTGCTGTTAACAAAGCAGAA